TTTATTTCGATAATTCTTCTACGTTGGACGAGTATGTTGAACACACTAACGACGAATAATATTAATTTAATTTATAAAGTTTAAAATATTAAAGTGTCAACGTATAATTATAAATTAGTTTAAAAATTAAAGATAAATTATTTAAAATAATGGGTAAACTATACCATTGACCATCAAACTATTACCCTTTTCATTTTGCCCACTATTTTTTAAATTTTATCTACAAGGTCACTAAACTATTTAAATGCATTCAATTAAGCCACTTGTCATTAATATTTAATGGAGAAGTTCATGTGACAGTTAAAATATTTGGTATAATTACATATTTGGTCGTTGTTACTTATATATTATATCAATTTGGTCCTGATTTTAATAAATTAAAATGAAAAATAATTGATTTTATTCTATCATATAATAATGATATTTACATGGAGTATTTAGCCATCAACTCCGCCTTTGCCGTTATCAATTCAAGCATTATATCTTTCAACATATAAATCTGACAACTTTTATTTACGTTAATGTAATGTACATTATATACTTTATTAAATTATTATAAACTATACCATCAAAAACATAAATTATGATGATGATAATAATATAATAATAATAATAATAATAATAATAAATAATAATAATAATAATAATAAATAAAAGAGGAATATATAATAATAATAAAATCATTATAAATCATTTAATTTTCTAGATTCTGGGATGCAGTCAAATGATTGAGAGTTATCTTATAACATATATCATCTTGTAATACTCCAAATTAATATGAATTTTAAAAGTTTTTTTTATCAAATGCAGAGAAAGTTTCTCAACTAAAAAAGATTAATTATGTATTTAATCACTTAACTATCTCTCTGGTTTTATTAAGTTATTTATTATTTGTTATTCAAAATCTTCATTAATGTAAGGTTTCAATTTCATTTTGATCATCTATTGTTAAAAATTAAGAGAACTATTGACTTGATATTTTTTTATTTTTTCAATGATGATGCGACATTACATTGTGGTGACATATTAATATCACCATATTTTTTTTAATGATTGTTGATTAAAATAAAACAAAAAACGTAATGTTAATGATGATTTTGAAAAAAAAAACAAATAGTTTGGTGGCTAAAACAAAACCACACGAATAATTAGTTGACTAAATATCTAATTCCCTATATTTTATTCAACTTAAATTTTTACTGCAATTCTTTTTGTAAATTATATCCTAAAATCATTTCTTTATTTTTTTATGCTTTAATAAATATTTTATTCTCAAAATAATTTTATAAAAAATAAAATTATAAATATATCTAATAATTTTATATCATATTTAATTTTAATAATTAAATTAGGACTAAATTGATAGGATATATAAGTGACAATGACCAAATGTGTAATTATAGAAAATTTTAACTGTCACATCAGTTTTTTCTGTTAAATATTAACGGTAAGTGGCTTAATTAAATGCATTTAAATAGTTGTGACCTGATTGACAACATTTAAAAAATGGTGGTCAAAATGAAAAGGGGCAATAATTAGGTGGTCACTAGTATAATTTACCCTTTATTTTAAATAAATTAAACTAATTTATAATTATTCACTGAGGCATTTAAAATTTATATTTTTATAAATTAAATTAATGATGTTCATTATTAACGTCGTAGATATACTTAGAGTGTTATAGAATTTTCCCATTTATTAAGTGGGAACTGATACTGAGGAGGTAGGAAACAATCCAAAAAAGGGATAAAAATCTAGTCTATAGTACGGGATTTACTTTGCACCGACTAATTATGGTCTTTAGAAAGTAAATTTTAAAAAGAAAAAAATTAAATATCCATAAAAATTATTGAAAAGGGCTTACTTTCTAAATGTTGTTCAAAATTGTTAAAATGTGTTGTTATGGTTTTATACGCATGATATAGCATGAAATTTGTTTTATGTTTTTAAAATTTTCACTTTACCTTTTAAATTGAAAAATATAAATCGATTATAAGAGTAACTCTTCTTAACCTTCATCTTATTTTAAAGCTTGAATATCTCATCTCATTAGATGAATTAGTTGTTAATAAATCATATATTTTAATTAAATTGATTTAAACCATAACTAAACTATAATGTTATAATTAGAACAATCGTGTTTCACCTATGAGATAACTTTCTTTTTATATCAAATTAGGTTGAATCTAATTATCATGGAACCGAATCATTTGACCGTCCGTAGTATTATAAGTTAGGATTAAGTGGAGGGAAAATCTCCTTTATTGAGAGTGGAAAGCAGACTCTTCTTCCATAAAGGAAATGTAAAGAGAGTAGTGGTGGAGGTATGGCAGATTTTTACTGTGTTTTTCCATTAATGAGAATCATTGGCATTATCTACGTGAAATAATTAGTATATTTGTCACTTTGAAGTTGTTACTTTCCTTCACTCTTCACTCATCACAAACTGAATCCATTCCTCACTTTTATAGGACCCCTCACTCTCCACTCATTGCTGATATGGTTTTCATGCAATCTTTGCCCTAGACCACCCTTTTCCTTTTTATTTTTTAATTTTATAAGTAATTTATATTCATCCAAAGAAAACAGCAAAAGCTGCTACAAAACAACAGTAAACACTATATGAGTTCCCAATTCATATACAAGTGTCTATTTACATCATCTCTTTTATGTATTTATACAATTTGTATTGAACAGTTTCTTTGATCAATGTAACAATCGCTTCTACCGAACGCGAGTACCTCCTAACAATCCCTTTTTTTTTCCATTTTTCTACTTTTCCATATGGTAATAAACGAAGTATATTTTATCAGAGAATCAATAAACATTCCACGATACTGAATGTTTCTAAGCATGATGTTTCCAAATGTAAGCATATAAACAAATATTTATTGGAAGATTACAAGGAAGAAAAGGAAAACTGTGATGTTTTCAGTCATTCAATGTAAACGTTTAGAGCCAATAATTCAATCACCTGAAAGAAACATCAGCAAAGAAAGTTGGAGGCTCAATGGGAAGAAACATCAGCCTGGCTGTAGTTTGTACAGTTGAGAGTTAATTGGTCAGTAAAAGTAAAAAAAAGGAAAAGAAAGAATAGTAGCTGGCTAGCGGCTACATCCAGAGGGCATGTTTACCTTTTTGATGTTGAAGTTTGGAATATTAAGAAAGCAGCGAAGAGAAACAAAAGAGCAATGCTAGAGAGCCCTATATCGTATAGGAAAAATCATGGGATTCTAAATACGACTGTGTCTTTTGCTTTGTTGATAATAAACAGCAAACGCAAAGAAACAAAACGGGAAAGAGGACCCTCGTTTTGACATGAGGTGAGACCACCTTTCCCTTGACCATATTACCCAACGCGAAAGACACCAAAGACGATGCTTCTGGGCTATTGAGGACCTGTTGACTATTTCATGATACGGTTATTGCTATTTGCTGCGTTAAAGGGAAGGGTTTCATTGTCAATTCCCAACGACGCAACCATCTTCCCTGTGCCTGATTTTAAGAGAGAAGGAGAGTCACGGGTTTGTCTTGGAAGGCCCTTATTTAATTGTCCTAGACAGACATAAGACACATATTCTCCCTCACTACTACATAACCGAGGAGGGAAACAAAAAAAAAAGAACACACACACATTAAATATTGCAAAGAAAAGATTTTAATACAGCCAAAAAACAACAACCGCTTCTTTACAGTAACCCCCGCTTTTCCAAACATTTTATCCCACCCAAGGATCTACCCTTCCACTATCTGTCCTGACGACTCTCATAATCAGTGCCGGCACCCTTCCTCACTAAACCTACCAACTAGTCGATGATCCCACCACCGACCACATAGTTTCTTGGGTGAAGATGATACTACTTTTGTTGTTTGGAGACCTCCTGAGTTGCTCGTGATCTTCTTCCCAATTACTTCAAGCACAACAATTTCTCTAGCTTTGTCAGACAGCTCAATACTTATGTATAAAAGCTCAATCTTTATCTCTTTTTTTTTTATTTCTAAAATCTTTGGCTTTTTAGTTATTTTACTGATCTGGGTTTTGCTTCTTCTTCTTTTCCCTATCTTTTTTTTGTTAATGAAAACTAGGGTTTTAGGAATTGTACCGGACAGATGGAGTTTGCCAATGAGTTCTTTAAGAAAGGTGAAAAACACTTGCTTTGTGAGATCCATAGAAGAAGACTGCGCAACCGCAAGTGGGGATAAACCATCATCACCATCACCCGCCACATTCTCAATTGCTTAATGCCCCGAGTTTCTTTCCATTTCCTAGCCGAGTCAGCATTCCCCCAGACTCGGATGAACAAGCCAACTGGTGTGACTCGCCCTGGAGGAGGCACTGGAATCTCAGTTTTCGGTGGCGGCGGGGTTGGGCTATAACAGCTGCTCGGTCACAGCTTTATCAGAGGACAATGAAGGCTGAAAAAAAGAAACAGTGTGCTGGTGTCTGAACTTGCCCATATGAAAAAGCTCTATAGTGATATTATCTATTTTGTTCAAAACCATGTTAAGCCGTCACTCCTAGCAATTCATACTCCCTTCCATGCTTCTTTATGGCCCTCCTTCATCCTATCCTCCTCCAGCATTAATACCACAATAATAGTTCATTATTGCAAAAGCTTCGAATCATCATCTTGGCCATTATTATACAAATCGTCCCATGCCCAATGCTTTTGAACTCCAACTGCTACCTCACAAGCTCCTTGACGATTCTTGAAGAGCAATGCAGTAGCAGTTGCAAACCAAGCTCTTTGGTGTACCCTTACAGTCCAGGAAGAGGGTGCACCCGAGTATGGTGCAACTAACATGGAGACTACCAAAGCACGTCTGGTGTCGGAAAAAGATGATTACGGCTGAACCTTATGCCTCCTACATGTTAGTTTCACATATCCATTCAAGAATATTCTAGCTTCCATTTTCCAATTTTTTTTAGTTTTTTATATATTAATTGTCTTTGTTTATCTTTAGAGTCCGATGATTGTTGAAGGCTATTTTGCGTGTGTATGGGTGTTTGTGACGGTGTATATAAATCTAGTGCCGGTAATATGTTGTTCCCCCCCTACATAAATGCAGGAGGGTTATGGTTAGAGTGAAGATGAAAGTTCAAACCTCAACACCAATCTTTTCTCTTTGATGTTTCTTCAGTTTTCCATTGGTGCAATTTATTGCTCATACTCTTTTTCTTCTCCCTTTATTCATGATTCTGACGTCTGTATGTTCCAGTTACATATGTGCTTGCATTAATGCAGGAGAGAGATGGACAGTGTCCTCGTAACTTTCTTTCAGTTCCGATTAGAAGAAAAGAAAACTGAGAGCCTGTGTAAATCCCTGGCTATAGCTGCCTCGTTGCCAACTTCTCAAGGGCTTTCTCTGGTTACTTCATTAATGACTGATACGTACAACCATGCTTTTGGTGCCATTTACTATAAAAATGAGGTGGCGGTAAAAAATGCAACTAACATTGGTTTCGCATCAGTGTAATTATGATTAGTATTATTATTGTCAAAAAAGAAGGTTATCATATCGTTCCATGAAGTTCATAACCATAATCAGCTCCATTATCATTTCTAGTTGTTCCTCTGAACTGTCAGTCAATCGAAGAAAATAAAGAAAACCCGAATTACAGAGCATTAAATTGAGAATCAGATAGGAGCCAAGAGGAAAAAAATCCAAAAGAATGAGTAATTCGATGAAAGCGAAATAATAGAGAAAACACATATAAATGCTGGTTTGAAATGTTTCAATCAAGGCTTCTATACCTCTTCTGAGAACCAGAAAACCTTTGCCTTTTCCTACTTAAAGTATCTGATCAACGTCTATAAAATCCATCTTTGGGTCCCTCTTTCTTTTTCACTAATTCCAATTTTCCTTTCCACTTTTTCCACACCAGAAAAGCCCATAGAAAATATCAGAGAGGAACACATAGAGCTATAGACCTTAAGATATAACCCAAAAATAGTAGCTAAACAACGAAACCCTTCTTCTCTTTAAGTCTTCTAGTTTTTGTCTCTTTGTCTCTATGTCAGCAGGCTCTTCGCTTTTCTTTTCTTTTTCTCCCTTGAATCTGGTTCTTTCTGTACAGTTTTCATGCAGCTATTAATGACCTAAGACAGAGAAAATGTATCAATATTTTAAACAACACCCAAACCCTAATTAATAACCTAGTTTGGCGCTATATATGTCTTTTGAAGTTGTTGGAGGTTTTGCACGTGACCCCAGGAACGAAATGCACATGTGATGTAAAAGAATGGCATGGGAGAAAATAAATACTAGAAAAAATGTATTAACATAGTAATTTATCGTTTATACATACAAATTTGCAAATTAAGATGAAGTTGTGTGTTTGAGGTTTGAATTAATTAATGTGTGTTATATATATTTAAGATAAGTCTAAGGTTAATTAAATTAAAAAGAAGCTGTCGTGTTGAACCAAATAAAAATCTTCTTTGATTTTGTTTCTTTTTCTCGAAAGATCAAAGAAAGGGTGAGGGAAAACGTGATTTACAAAGAGACATAGGTTTCCACTTCTTGTTTGCACTTTCGAAATCCACTTTGTTTTTGCATTTCTTTTGGCTCAACACTTTACGAAAAACGACTACGTATTCATAAAAAGGGGGAAAAATAAATGCAAAAGGCTGCAAATGTCCATTTGTTTGATTTCGATCTTAGCTAACTTTTCTGTTCCGTTCGGTTTGTTGAGCAAAGTACAATAGGATTGGTGATGAATTTGAAGTATCATGTTAATCATTTTTTATAGGATAAATTAGTCACAGAATCATATGTATGATAACAAGATGAATTAATTTATAGTTTTATTTCTAAATTTGAAAATTAAGTTAATCATAAATGTAGAACAAACACCGGCTTGAGGTGGACAAATCTGTAGAGAGACCATTGATAGAACAGTAGCAGCCTTGAACTCAAAAATAGTTTTAGGCATTGCAAATTCTGGGCTGCAGCAGTCAGGAAAAGAGCATTAGAGCTTCCCGGCAGAGTGACATTGGACGATGTACGGGTAATGCATAAGTCAAAGACCCAAAGCTACTAATGCAACGAGTAACCAAAGATGTCCTCAAGTTTAAACGGCGGTTAAAGCGATAATAGTATAGGTTAAAAGACTGGTGAAATAATTTTAGTTAAGAATATAAAAATATAAAATTAAATAGATATTTTGTAAAGCTTATGTATCAAAATAATAATTAGAGAAAATAACTTCAGTGACCAAAAAATCCCAGATAATATACGATTTTGACCAATTTTTTTTGGATTTGCGAAAATGACCAACAAAATCGCAATGCGATCTCTAATTCGCATTGCGATCTCCACTATCGCAAATTCGCGTTGCATTTCGCGTTGCGATAGTTGAAAATCGCGTTGCGATTTTCCATTTCGCGTTGCTATAGTTGAAAATCGCGTTGCGATTTTCCATTTTGCGTTGCGATAGTTGAAAATCGCGTTGCGATAGTTAAAAAAAAGATTTTTTTTCTTAAGAATTTTCTCTAAAAAGATAGTATCCGTGTGGACGTGTCGAAGACACGTACGACCACGACCACAACCCGAGACGAGACGAACGGCGGCTGCGGCGCGCGAGAGTCCCCCTTGTTCTCTATCACTCAACAAGGAAGTGGGAAAGCCAAACCTTAAATACCATTCCCAATAGTATTTCCAATACTATGTGGGATTTGAACATACCAACCTTGTTCTCAATACTATGTGGGATTGAGCCTTAATAGTGATATTTTTGAATGTTTTGCTTAAAATTGCAATAATCGCGATTGATTGTAGATTGACTTTTAATTATGACATATTTAATCGTATAATACTAATGCAATTGGTTGCTGATTCAGTTGTTTTAAGGTGCATGATTGTTAATTGTTTCCCGAATAATCACATTGTATTGGAAACGAGTGTTGATAATGCTCAATCCCACATAGTATTGGAAACACTATTGAGAATGGTATTTAAGGCTTGGCTTTCCCACTTCCTTGTTGAGTGATAGAGAACAAGGGGGACTCTCGCGCGCCGCCGCCGCCGTCCATCTCGTCTCGGGTCGGGTCGGGTCGTGGTCGTGGTCGTGTCGTGGTAATACGTGTCTTCGACACGTCCGCGTGGATATTATTAGATAAAATTCTTAAGAAACAAAATCTTTTTTTTTAACTATCACAATGCGATTTTCGCAACGAATTTGGAAAATCGCAACGACAACTGTAGACTATCGCAACGCGAAATGAAAAATCGCAACGCGAAATGCGAAAATCGCAACGCGAAATGCGTAAATCGCAAAGAATTTGGAAAATCGCAACGACAACTGTAGACTATCGCAACGCGAACTGGAAAATCGCAACGCGTTTTTCAACTATCGCAACGCGATTTTCAACTATCGCAACGCGAACTGGAAAATCGCAACGCGAAACGGAAAATCGCAACGCGAAATACAACGCGAATTTGCGATAGTGGAGATCGCAATGCGATTTTGTTGGTCATTTTCGTAAATCCAAAAAAAGTTGATCAAAATCGTTTATTATCTGGGATTTTTGGTCACTGAGGTTATTTTCTCTAATAATTAACGTTCTATTAAATAATCTTTTTAATCCCTACAATAATTAAACAAGTTTGCCGGGGTGATCATGTATATCGAGAGAGAGAAATCGACATTGAGGCCCGTTTGAAGCCTAACTCACAGTCTCGCACACCTTAACCTTATTATCCAGTAAAGCTCTCGTTCAAAGCCCAGCATTCTCCTGTCCTCTTAAACCCTAACAACCCCCCACCCACCCCAAGTCGATATCATAAAAACCCAATTCGAACAAAAACCAGTCCGACTCGAATAATGTACGTACTAACAGGTGCGGAGCAACTACGTCCACGGCCTCGCCTCCGTAGGATTCCCTTTTTTTTCTTATTCCTTTCAACTTCGCAACCCATCCGCCACCCCCCGATCACGTCCTTTATTGGTCTTAGTCCAACGTTTACTCTAATATCTATCCTAATTCTTCGACTCTTTGCCCGAACTTGTGGTTACATTTTTTTTTGTTCCACAGCCGCGGGAAGAAGTTAAAAGTTTTCCCGCGCATCTCGCTGCTAATATCGAAGTTAAATTTCTTCCCTGCTGTGGTGATACATACCTTTGGGAGGTAAGATTCTATTGCTTTATTCATTTATTTGCCAGTGTTTTTTTGGTTAAAGCCAAGGCTTTTAGGTGTTACTTTTTTTATTATTATTTTTACAATTTAGGTTGCAACGGGAAGATATTAAAGAAATGCCACGCTTATTATATGGCAATTGCATTCATTGTTTTCTCCACTTCTCATTTCTGGATCAGAGGATGGATGTGTTAGAGTTTTGTCGCTTTTCATGTACATGTTCCTTATTCTAACCCTTATTATATTCTGTTAGGATTGCAAAAATTAATTTGATAATTGTGGTCACCGATGGTACCTAGTTTGTGTTTTTGGTTGTTTATTGTGTATAGGATATTTGATGATGTTAGAAGGCAGCAGCTCTATGAGTGCAGTTTTACTCTTTATGAAATGACATCGTTATGGGTTATAGACAATGTAGTTATAGTGTCGGCTTCTGAGGAACGTGCATCTGAGGTTTGTTCTACTTAGGATGGCAACTCAACCCGAATCCGACGGGTTTCGACCCGACCCGATCGGGTCGGATTTTTTTTTAAAAAAATCGGGTTCGGGTCGGGTCGGGTTTTTTTTTAAATGTACTGTTCGGGTCGGGTTTAAGGTGAAAAAAATCCGATCCGACCCGACCCGAAAAATATATATAATTTTATTCTATATATTTAGGGATAATTACAATAATGTCCTTCCATATATAATTTTTTTCAATTAAGTCACTGTTTTCATTGAATAAAATTTTTTTTATTATTATTTCGGGTCGGGTCGGGTTTCTAAGTCATATATTCGGGTCGGGTCGGGTCGGGTGAAACCTTAATTTCGTCGGGTCGGGTCGGGTCACGGGTGAAAAACCCTTTCTTCTCGGGTCGGGTCGGGTGGCCCAAAAACTCGACCCGACCCGACCCATTGCCATCCCTAGTTCTACTTTTACTTAAAGCTCAAATGCATGTAATGTCTATCATGCCGGTTATAGAACCCTATTTCACGGAAGATCTTTCGGTTTCCATCCTGTAATTACCTGTTGCATTTCTGATGCCTATTTTGCTAATATATGACGTTGTCCTTTTTTCCTTTTATTCTTTTTTTAAAGGTTTCTTTATATATTGTGCATTGATGATAGGTATGGAGCTTATCCAGGGGAAGATTAAGAAACATTGTATTTCCTTCCATCATTGATGCGATTGCTTTAGACCCTGGTTAACATGTTCTCTGCTGGTAACCAAGATGGTATTACTTTGTTATTGGTTCACCATCTGATCAAAGGTGTTGTTTTGTTATTTGTTTTTTGTCTTTCCCATCTTTACGATATTAAGTAAGTATGGCAGGGTTAGTCTATGATGTTGGTCTTGTATCATTTTACATTTTAGTTTAGTCCTCAAAATGGCGGCTTCTCATTCTATAACCCACCACCTAGATTGAAGGAGGAGTTTAGAAATACTTCGGATTGTTACGCATCAAGAAGAAAAGTAAAACTAAATTGAAGGTTGCAAACACACCACATGAAGTGGCTTCATGCTTGTATGTCATAATTTTTATCATATATGGACTAATAACATTGGTGAAACAGAGTAAATATTGTCCATCCCTTATTAAAACTTCAGAAGGCTTCTTGTTATATCCCTCTTAATTGCCCTTTTTACTAACAGTTTTTCTATTTACATTGGAACAGTAAGTCTTTCTTGACATATATTGCAGAAGGAATTCTACTACTTCCTGGATCCGAGGATGTCATGGTTTGAGTTTGGAATTATTGAGAATTCATATAAATTATTGTGGTTTCAAATTCAATTATTATCGCCAGCAAGCGAACCTTCTTTGTAGTTTTCTTAGCTTTAATGTCTTCTAAATATTTACCATATGTATTTTATATTTCAACAAATCAACACCTTTGTCTAAACTCTTGTTCCCCCTTTGTTCTCAGCAACAGGCTCTTATTCTGCAACTGAAATAGAAGTGAAGAGGTTGAGGCTTGATGGCAAAAGAACTAAGCAGAGGTTCAGCAATTGAAAAACGTTTATGACAACCTGCATCAATGAGCTCTTAGATGGAGAACAAATGGGAGGGTCTGAAGAGAACCAACTCTGAGACTGTACAAACAACCACCGGTTTTCCTATTATGATCCTAAGAGAGGTATTAACCCCCTTCAAGGCTTTTGTTCTTCGACTTATTTTCCCCACCCTCTTTTCTAATTTTCATTTGAGAATTAGTTTCATCTAGTAACATCTTGCTAGCTTATGATAAACTCGAGTAAAATTTCCATTTGTATCAATTACAAACAAGAAATCCGTGGCAATTTTTTGTGCCATAATTTTGGAACATATTCTAGAAAGATTATGAAGATTCATGAAAGATGTAAATTGTTCACATTAATGAGTGATGTTTCTGCTATGCAATCATATCTGAGGCAACCATGCAGGCCTGCGTCATAAATAATCAAATGCTAGATCTAATAAGATAAACTATAAAAGCATTAATTTATATATCCTGGAATCTATTTTGGGTGTAATATATAATTTTTTTTCCTCAATAATTTTTTGAATTCCATATTCAAGTTCTGTAACGTGTGCATGATGCAAGTTGATAATGTAAATAATGTTATCAAATAAATTTTTTAAAAACTTATAATCAGATGTATATATTCAAATGAAGTTGGATTTCAGCATGGCAAGATTTAGTTAGCCCCTCGAGAATTATTAATTCATGTAACCTGTTCTGAGAAGAAATCCTGTAATTGCAGATTTGCTTGTTCCTATTTGGTTGTATCAGATTCAAGTGGTAGGCCTGTGGGAATCAAACCCAGCATTTTGATGGGTCCGGCAGTGGTGGCATACATCATTAGAAGTTGCCAATATTATACTTAAGATAATTCCATAGCTTTTTGTCCCTTAATAATGGAAGGGTACCATCAACTACTACTCAATAATGTTTTGAGGCTTTCTAGACCCTTTAATTCACTTGTTGAAAACAAATTCTGAAGTGAAATTAAAGCTCACTCTTCTCAGTTCTTCCACTACTGCCTATCTTCCTTTGGCTCCCAAAGGGACAAACTTTTACCCCTATTTCTTTTACAATAAGTTATGAAAAATGGTTGGAACTTGGAACAATAAGTTGGAGAAAAATAGAACAGTCGTATAGATGCTTACTTACCGTCCGTTTTGTGCAATTGGGCAACTAGAAAACGATCCCCAATTGAAAATGTTGAAAATCATGCAGAGAGAGAGAGAGAGAGAAGGGGTGGGACCATTTCCCCCCATTGAATAAAGTAATGCTATATTTTCTTTCATCGGTTATCTCTGAGCCTGCTAACCCCTGCGGTTCCCGAAGAGGGTGAAGGAAGTGGCAAGAAGCAAGAACTGTTACGAATATAATAATAGTCATAATGTTTTTGTTTGTTATATCCGATTGATATATTATATAAACTTTAACTTAAAATTAAGGGTATGAATTATTACATTTAGGGGAGTTTAATTTATGGAAAAGATTATTATTAAGAAAAATATTTTTTCCCGAAATAACATTTTCACGTTTGGTTTATAGATAATCTTTTTCTAATAATAACATTTTTTGGGTTAAAATTGTAAGAATGTCATCATTTTAAATTCTTAGGTATTAGATAATTCTTATCACTTTGGATAAAAATACTTCTAGACTAATAAATTATTTTTATAATGATCCTTCTTAATTTTTTTATGCTTTACTCAAAATTATAAATATAATAATAATAATATACAAAGAGTTTAATTTCATAAAATATTAATGAATTTGAGTATTTAAAATTATTTTTAATATTTAATATTTAATATATTAATTATTTTATAATTTTATGTTGTGAAAAATATATTATTGTAAAAATATAAATATTTAAAATGATATCTAAGTTTTTTTATTAAAAAAATAGATATTGTATATTAAAAATAATATATTTGTCCACTCGAGATCCTAATTTTTTTCATATTATATTATATATATAATATACTTATGAAAATTATTTAAAAATATACGTTCAATATATTAATTATATATTAAATGTATTTTTTCTCAAAAGTTAGATAATATAACGATTAAAATATTTCTATGAATTCTCAATCAAATATTTATAATTTAATATTAAAGTTTAAATTTTAAAAAAACATATATCAAAAGGATAATTTAATAAAATGTGCATCCAAGTAATCTTTAATCTTCCAACCAAATACTGTAATTTACATTACTGCTAAATAAACCAAACAATGTAATACACATTCTCATAATAATGTCACATTCCAATATGTTATTCCTAAATATAATATTACATTCCGTGAACCAAACGTTCCCTTAATTATTTTATTAAAGACAAATTTTCATATTTTATTTTGCTATGATTTTTAAGTTAAATCATCAACTACATTATACGTAAAAGATTATCATCAAAATTATTATTTGATATGTGATTTTTATTTTAATTATTAAAAGAATATAAAAATTATAATTTTTAAAGGAATTAAATCCCTAATTTATCATAAAAATTATTAAAATCGTTATTTTTTTAAAATCCCCTCTTTTGAACCACGTATTCTCCATTTTAAAAAACGCGGCGTTGATAAACTCTTTTTACACCCCATCATTTGCGAACCCCTCTTCCGTCGAACCGCTACGCTAACCCATGTTTGTATAATCCCTTGCACCCCAGGATCAGTCGGTCCTCCCTAAATCAAAGTCAGCCATTGTCGTCCTTTTCTTTTCTTTGCACTACCGATTGTCATTCGGCTTCACAGAAAGGATAACAGTGTACGGTGGTTGATTTCTATGACGATAAATGGGATTTGAATGTTTGAAAATTAGAGATTTAAAAGATTTTAGAGACTGTGATAAAGCATTAACATAAATGGGACGTGGGGATGAGAAGATAAGGTGGTGCAGCTGTGATAATACAAAGTAAAAGAAACCAACCCAACAAACAACAATATCTTGCTTCTTTGTATCCTATCGATCCTCTTCTTGCAGGGAACGTCTCTTTGCTCTCACATCCTTCTCAATTATAACAATATTTCAACAAACACATCCTTCTATAATCATTACAATAAAGTTTACTAACAGAGAGAAACTTGTGCTTTTTACTTTCTCTTCCTTCTGGTTAATCTGTCAATCTCCACAGTTGCTTTGGAATCAGGATGATCGAAGGGCCTTTTCTGTGTTGCACCAGGCAAAAGAACAATAGGCAAAACCTCGCTTTTCTCTTTTTCTCTTCACATGAGGCTGTCTCAAACCTCAATTCTGGGATTTTGAAATCATCAATGTATTGAACTGTCTAAGGCAAAGCTAAATCCTAAGAATGTAATGCTGAGAGAGATATAATCACAGCAAAAAGCGCTTAGCTCTGAAAATATCAAATATTTTTTCAGTATCTGCACAGTACGTGCATGGGATAGCTGTCAATGACCACTGTTCAGAATTTATGTCCTTTGCCATGCAGAAAATTAACTAAGCTGCGCAATTAATGTACTGTGTTCGTCTCTTGCAAAAATGGCAAAATCAAAGCTTCGTCGTTTGTTGGAGGGCTAATCACTCCTTATCGATGTCTATATCATGTTTGTGTGTTCGCTGATCAGAATTTGAAAACTAAAATACAATAAAAAAATGAAATTCTCCCTATGTTAAATTTGAAAAGAATTTTACACTAGTCCGTAGCCTGTAAGCAGCCAGAAGCCCTGCAACATTAAATTCAAGAGGGTGTAAACTTAAATTTTCTTGTCTGCAATTTCCACATCATTGTCTTTCCATTTATTTCAAATAACTATATTAGATCTCTTTATTGTATCGTTTCGGTAGAATAAAAACCAACTTTCGGAGATATGATCGAGTGGTTGATATTAACACAAAGAATTCATCATCAACTAAAATATCTCGTAATCATATATTACAACTCTTGGTCCAAGTAGTTCAGATTTGGTGGTGCTTCACAAGATGTAACCTGAAATTTCTGAATTGAAAAATATTGCGACTGTTTCACGATTAGTCACGCAAAGAAATGTTGGAAATAAAACACTCACACAAACAACTTTTATTGAAACTCAAACAAATATTACAAGAGTACTCTCACTCAAAAACAAGAACTACAACTCACTCTTATAAGACTTTGCTTCTTCACTCTTAGCTCTTAATTTTTCTTGATTAAACTAAAACTAAGGGAAGGGGTATTTATACTACTCAAGAACAATCCTACACACACACAAATAAACTAAAAACCATTACAAATTCAACAAATATCTAACTCTCACCTAACTAAATGATTAAGCAATGACATCATTAATTAAATGATGTAAGCAATGACATCTTTAATTAAATGATGTAAGTAATGACATCAATTTAGTTTGGGTTTGGGTTTAGGCTCCCATAATGGACAAGTTTATGATCCAACACCCTCCCTTAAACTTGATCTCGTGACCCCTAGTAGGTTCCTTAATCTTAAGAAGTCTTCGCTGGTCAGTGGCTTGGTAAAAATATCTTGCAACATATTCACTCCCTTTCTTGCATATATAGTGGTAGCGAATATCAATGTGCTTGCTTCGATCATGGAATACTGGATTCTTTGCTAAGGCAATGGATGACTTGTTGTCGACACAAACCTTGGTAGGCTCTTCTTGTATCAAACCAATCTCCTTCAATAGATTTCTAAGCCAAATTGCATGACAAACACATGAGGTAGCAGCAACATATTCCGCTTCACAAGTGGATAATGTGACAATCGGTTGTTTTTGACATCCATGTGAATGCAATATCCCCATGAAAAATACGAATCCAGTAGTGCTCCTTCGATTATCTATGTCTCCACCCCAATCACTGTCGCTATATCCAACAAGCTTGTAATCATTAGAAACTGAATAGAACAAGCCAAAGTCAATTGTACCTTTCAGATAGCGAAGAATTCTCTTTGCGGCTTTAAAATGGGTGGTTGTTGGGATTCCATGTAGCGACTAACCAATCCAACTGCGTGAAGAATATCGGGTCTCGTGCAAGTTAGATAGCGTAGACTTCCTACCAAACTTTTGAAGAATGTTGGATCTACACTTTCGCCTTCTTCATGTTTGGTCATCTTGATCCCGTATTCTGCCGGTGTGCTTATTGGCTTACAGTTCTCCATCTTGAACTTCTTCAGTATCTCCTTTGCATAGCTTTCCTGTGAAATGAAAATTCCATCATTTTGTTGCTTAACTTCAATGCCAAGGTAGTACGCCATGAGCCCCATGTCTGTCATCTCGAATTCTTTCATCATCACATCCTTGAATTCATTAAACATGCTTGGGTTGCTTCCAGTGAAGATCAAATCGTCCACGTAGAGGCACACGATCAAAATATCTTCATCTTTGATCTTTATATAGAGCATGCTCGTAGGGACATTTGTTGAAGCCATTCTTTGGAAGTACTTGTCGATTCGGCTATTCCATGCCTTGGTGCTTGTTTTAGCCCGTAAAGAGTCTTCTTCAACTTCAACACCTTGTCTTCATGCCCTTTGACTTCATAGCTTGATGGTTGCTGAATGTAAAGTTCTTCTTCAAGAACTCCATTTAGGAAGGCGGACTTTACATCCATCTGTTGTATCTTCCACTTGTTTTGAGCTGCCAAAGAAATGATTAGTCTGATAGTCTCCAATCGAGCAACAGGAGCAAATACCTCATCATAGTCAATTCCAGCCTTTTGACTATAGCCTTTAGCAACTAGCCTCGCCTTGTGCCTTTCAATCTCTCCTTTGGCGTTTTGCTTTGTTTTGTACACCCATTTGACCCTATCGCCTTATGTCCCTTGGGAAGTGAGGTAAGTTCCCATGTGTCATTCTTCTCGATGGCCTTGATTTCTTCGTCCATCGCATCTCTCCATTTTTTCTTGTACCGCTCTTGAAAGCTCACTGGTTCACAATCGGCAAACAGACAAAATAATGTAAGATTATCTTGTCGTTCAGTTACCTCATAGAGATCTCTAAGGCTTCTTGTGCGTTGCACAACTCTTTCACTTTGACTCCCACTTGACGATGATGAAGGTGATGAGTCTCTTGAGTGGTTGATGTTGGTGAAGTGGGTGGAGTTGCAAGCTCTTGTTGAGATTCATCTAGTTGCTCCCTCATTGTCTGCTCATCTTCTTCAAACTGAGGAAAGAAATTGAAGTCATGTATGAGAGTTAAAATCCCATTCTCCTTCTTCGTTGAAGACCACATCTCGACTAATCACAAACTTCTTATTGTCTGGATTGTACAACTTGTAGCCCTTCGAATTAGCATCATAGCCGATGAAGATAAAACTCTCGCTTTTATCATCAAGCTTCGTTCTTCTCTCGTCTGGTACGTGAACATGGGCTATACTTCCAAAGGTTCTCAAGTGGGAAAATGCCAGGCTTTCTTCCACTCCATGCCTCTTGCGGTGTCTTTCCCCATACACTTCTTGTTGGAGATCGATTTGACAAGTAGACTGCACACGATACTGCTTCCGCCCAAAATTCTTTGGGTAGTTTCTTGCTTTTGAGCATGCTTCGTGCCATGTCGAGGATTGTTCTATTCTTTCTTTCTGCCACACCATTTTGCTGGGGGGATCTAGGAACTGTCATTGGTCGACGAATTCCATTTGCTTCACAGAACTCTTGAAACTCCCTGGAAGTAAATTCTCCACCTCGATCGGATCTCATGGCTTTGATCTTTCTACCGCTTTCTCTCTCCACTGCTGCTTTGAACTTCTTGAAGACTTCAAAAACTTCTGACTTCTGTTTTAAGAAATATACCCAGGTTTTTCTTGAAAAATCATCAATGAAGAGAAGAAAATAGTTATTGTTACCGAGAGAGCTTGGCTTGATCGGTCCACACACATCGGTATGGATGAGCTCAAGTGGCTTCTTAGCTCTTGTCTCTGACTCCTTTGGAAAGCTTTTCCTGAATTGTTTCCCGACTAGACACCCTTCACAGAGTTGGTCAGGATGGTTGATGTGAGGTAGTCCTTTCACCATCTCCTTCTTAGATAATAGCTCTAGACCTCCAAATTGAGATGCCCAAATCGAAGATGCCAAAGCCATGATGCATCTTTGTAGCAAGCTTTCAGGCACTTTGCAACATCATTTTGTATGTTGATCAAGAACATTCTATTCTTTGACATCGGCACTTTAGCAATGAAGTTATTCTTATCATCTTTATAGAAAGATTATAATTATTCATATGAATATCATAACCTTTCTCTACAGTTGCCCTAAACTTAAAATGTTACTTTTCATATGGGCACATAGTAGACATTTGAAATAAATTGATGTCTCCCATCTTTCAAACGGATAAGAATGTTACCTCTCCCTTTCACTGCTATTGTGGAATCATCTCCAAACGAAACATTTCCACTTACTGACTCGTCTAGCTCCACAAACATGTCTTTCCTTCCACACATGTGATTGCTTGCACCACTGTCAAGATACCAGGAATTTGCTTGGACACCATCAGTTTCCTTTCGTGCTAGAAGAAGAGTTTCTTTACCATCTGTCTTTTCCTCCACGTAATTGGCCTTCTCCTCAATTTGTTGTTGGGAGCTCTACATTCTGAAGCATAATGCCCAAATTTTTGACAATTATAACATCGAATTTGAGATTTGTCATACTTTGAGTTTGGATTAATTCTTCCACGGCCTCGTGTTGAGCTTTCTCCTTTCTCATAGTTGTTGTTGGAATTGTTATTGTTGTAATTCCAGCCTCGTCCACACCTCGACTTCCACCTCGTCCATGGCCTCTACCTCTGCCTTGGCCACGTTGGTTCTATCATTGCGTTGGCTCTCATGCATATCCTTGAGTTGCAGCTTGAGGAGTTGCTCAGTAAACTCATGCTTCTTTTTATGCTTCTCTTCGTATGCTTGCAACGATCCTTGGAGCTGTTCGATCTTCATTTCTTCCAAGTCTTTAGTTTCTTCAATCGTCACGACGATGTGCTCAAATTTGGGATCCAACGAACGGAGTATCTTCTCTATTATCCTCACATCGTCTAACTTTTCACCATTTCTTTTTAATTGATTAGAAACAGCTACTACTCTTGAGAAATAATCTGAAATAGACTCAGATGCTTTCATGTTTAAGGATTCGAATTCACCTCTTAATGTTTGGAGACGAACCTTCTTCACTTGCTCGGATCCTTTGTAAGAGGTTTGCAGCTTCTCCCACGCTTCCTTGCTAGAGCTTGCACTTGAAATCTTTTCAAAACCATCATCATCTAATGCTTGATAGATGAGGTAGAGAGCCTTCTTGTCTCTCTTTCTTGAATCCTTCAAAGTTGTCTTTTGATCTGGTGTAAGAGTAGCAAAAACATCATCATCCGCAGGCTCATTATAGCCTTTCTCTATGATATCCCACACATCTTGTGATCCAAGAAGTGCCTTCATTTTGATACTCCAATTGTCGTAGTTGTTGTTGTTGAGTGTCGGAACTTGGAATGGTGCCATACCATTTGCCATATCTCTCAATATAATGAGATTTGTAAAATCCGATTGCACGGATGAATCCGAAACGATGAAAAAAAAAACTTTGGAGGGACTTGGACAACTCGGTCAAGGGCTCCAACTCGGCTGAATCGGCTCAACTCGGTGAGTCAACTCGATTTTCTGGCAGCAGTCTTCCGGCGGTGCGTGGCGGTGCGTCAGAACTCAGATTGAGAAAATTCTGGCGGCGTCGTATTCCTCTCGTCGAGACCTTCGATCTTTCCAACTCTCTCTGATACCACTTTGTTGGAAATAAAACACTCACACAAACAACTTTTATTGAAACTCAAATAAATATTACAAGAGTACTTTCACTCAAAAACAAGAACTACAACTCACTCTTATAAGACTTTGCTTCTTCACTCACTTAGAAGCTCTTAATTTTTCTTGATGCTTAAAACTAAAATGGGAAGGGGTATTTATACTACTCAAGAACAATCCTACACCACACAAATAAACTAATTTAAACCATTACAAATTCAACAAATATCTAACTCTCACCTAACTAAATTGATGTAAGCAATGACATCATTAATTAAATGATGTAAGCAATGACATCTTTAATTAAATGATGTAAGTAATGACATCAATTTAGTTTGGGTTTGGGTTTAGGCTCCCATAATGGATCAAGTTTATGATCCAACAAGAAATACATCACAAATTCAAAGTAAGATTTATCAGACCAAGACCTTTTAGCATGCACTGATTATATCCAGATTTTTGCATGAAAATGACAACAAATAGTTTTAAAATGTGCAGATATAAATGCTTCGTGTTCATCAGTAGAAAAGAGCCCTCCATCTCCACCTGCAATCATATTGTTCCAAATTAAATGAAAACAAACAAAAACCCTCCCAGCAACTTTGTGAAATTTCTTTAGAATAAATAACAGATTTTAGAGTAAAAAACTATTTTTATATATAATATTCGACCACTTCATGCTATATATACTCGTCGATCCCAACTATAGATTGATAGCCTGATCCAGATATATTACTATTTTATTATTTATTTTTCCCTTCCATTTCTTCTCTCGTTACTGCAGTTTCACATTCTTCTCATCCCTTCACTGAAGATTCAGATAAACTCCTAGTCTTCTCCATCACTCTGTTAATCAGATTCCACACAGTCACAGCTCTGTAACAACAGCCATAGAAGCTGACCAGTTAAAGCCTGCAACAGAAGATCAGATGGACATGGTGATGATGATGCAGATGGAAAAGTTCCCTCAACTCTACGGGGTCTATAACGACGTCGTTGAATTCCCTCAAACTGAGCTTGCTGATCACTCTAGCAATAGTAGTTGTAGTAATAGCATCACTGGCATGCCGCATTTTGTTGAGAACCCACAGGTCGGTTGTTCACCCGGCCAATTCATAACCCTGCCGACTACAGCCATTATTTCATTCAATGGTCCAACCCCAGGAGGTTCAAGTTTCTCGTTTACCCCAGCAGAGCAACCCTTGTCTGGTTCAGGTGCAAATGCTTATTCCACAATATCTCACCAAAAGAAGAACTCAGTGGCTACAATGAGGGAGATGATATTCCGGATAGCAGCTATGCAACCGATCCATATAGACCCTGAATCAGTGAAGCCACCTAAGAGGAGGAACGTGAAGATATCAAAGGATCCTCAGAGTGTGGCGGCGAGGCACCGACGGGAGAGGATAAGCGAGAGGATAAGGATACTTCAGAGACTTGTCCCCGGAGGAACCAAAATGGACACTGCGTCTATGTTAGATGAGGCTATTCACTATGTCAAGTTTTTGAAGACTCAGGTGCAGTCACTGGAAAGAGCTGGCACTAGCAGGTCAACAGGTTTAGGGTTCCCTGTTGGGAGTTTTCATCCAATGGGAAAACCATATCAGCCCACTGATCAAAACCATCAGCAATTGGGAGAAGCTTGGCTAAGCTAGTAGCTTAACAAAAGAGGATTATAATATTAGACTTAATTGTATGTATAAAAAACAATGGCTAAATGAAACGGAGTGATATTCATGATGATGAGCATGGAGAAGTAATTTAATTGACTCCATGCTGTATTGTTGTATCAGATAGGCCAAGTGTTGAAAGAATTAATCAAAAGTTGGTAATAGATGAATAGAGTTTTCATTTTGCCTTCATGGTCACCCGGTTTTAGCTATAAGCGCATGAGAGGTGTGGATTGAAGGAGGCAGAAATAGGGTGGGAATGAAGGTGAAGTTGGAAGTCATTTTGGGAGAGAGAAATGCATGTGGCAATTCGATGACGTCGTTTTCCTTGAGCAAACTGTTCACGTGAACATGCTCAACTCTCTCTCCCCTTAATTTGCTTACATACTCTGCACAAAGCAAACCTAAAACCAAACAAACAGGATTGAGTAAATAAAGCTAAATGGTTGAACAAAATGAAGGATCAGCTTTTAATTACATGGAGGTTATAAAGTTTCACTGCGACTATTTCGTCGATCTGTCCAAGGATTCTTCTTCCTTGAATATTGGAGATTTCCCACAATTCTCAAAACCTGCCTCTGAATTTAGCATAGTCCAGCCAATACTAATTGTCATTGCAGAAGACGTCATCTTTACTCACCCTTACCAAGCCATAGCATGGCATGGCATCCAAGCTATCATCAGGCTCAGCCGAAACCATACCAGCTTATACCCCTCGGCTTTAGGCCTAATTATAGATCCCAGATCAAATAAAAACAACCACCAAATTGCCAATTAGCACATCACTATTAGTATACTTGAATATAGCTGCATCCAATTACGGCAGCCGTTATTATTGTCATAGTTTTCATCCTCTCATCACCTACTTTTTTTTTTCTCTACATTTCATATTCAGCTGTTGTTTGTAGAATTTATATCTATATTTTTATAATCAATCATATCTAATTTATTAATAAATTAATTTAAATTGAGTATTGTAAATGTAACTCTCTTCATCTATTCTTTTTCTATTCACGATTTTATTATTCAAACCATAATCTTAATTAATAGACTTGATATTTTATCTCACTAAATAAATTGATAATTAATAAAATCTAGTTTCACTTTCAACCATTATTTCTAAAGATAAATTCGTAACTATATTTCAAGGATAAAAGTTTTAGAAAGTGACTATTTATATATTAAAAACCGGGAAAACAAAGCATTTTTATGGTAGGGTAGACATCTTTTCACGTCCATTATGATAGATTGATACAAAATGGAAAGGTTCGAAGGACTAAAACGTCATTTTATTGATGTGAGCCCTTAGTAACAATCAAAGAGAGAGGATGTTAACTCTGTCCTGGATTGGGCTTCTCTTCCCCCCATAAATACAAATATATTTAAGAGCTTAAATGAACATTATCTAGAATTTTGGACCACCAGCCCCTCTCCCATTCTCCACGCACTCACAAATCTTTTATTATTATTTTTTTCAAAAGAGAATTCCATTCAATAACATGAAAAATACCCAAATTCTAAACGACTGAAATGGAGAAATGCATCTCATTCTTACACCCAAAAGTCATTTATTCCTCCTTACCCCAAAAACCAAATAAAAAAATAATAGTAATAAATGGTCAAAGATGTTATCAGAGAACCCATGTGAGGTATCCCACAAAGGGTCCAACATGAGCACACGGGGGGACGAGTGGGTTTGAGCAAAAGGGAGCCCCCTTGTCCTCTCCATTTATGGCGCAACCAATCCATCCCTCGCTGCACACTATTTCTCAAGACATGCTTTTAATATCCTCAAAATCTTATGGTACGACGACTGAACCGATGCATCAAGAAAGGTACTAGCATATGAATGAATTTAAGACTAGTTAAATGGGATATTTTAAATGCGTTAAACATTCAACTCTTCAACGAATTAAGCGAACTATATTCTAAGTTCTAACATGGAGCTCACATTGTTCAAGAATTATTAAAAAAAAAATCTTACAATGAAGCATGTTATGCAATTCGTAGATGTTGCTTATTGTTTTACAAATTTTATTTCAGTTCTTTTAAATAAATCAATCCTTGGGAAAAATATTTAATTAAAAATAGTATTTTCCATGGAAAGAGATTCAGACAAGAGCAATTCAAATTCTTAAAGAAAAGTTTCAAGAATTATCTTCAACACTAGTTTCTTCATGTGAAATATGTATTATCCAACTGATGTCAGTTATAAATATTGAGGAGCGATTCTCTATGAAAAGAAAAGATGGTAAAAGACACTTATGTAGTTATAAAAATGAAAGATTTATTGATGCATAAATTAATTATTATTCCATTTTAAAGGCATCTTAAGAGCTAAGAAGAGAATTTTAAATTCTAAATTTTGTCTTATTGGATATTGTTTTTCAATTCAGATTAATGTTTTCTTTTTCATAAAGTCAAATGTAGTGTTTTATCTAATTCTTTAAATAATCAAAATAATTTTAAAGAGAAAGTTCGGAATGTAAATATGTATTTTAATTAAGTCCGTGTATGAATTATTGACCGGGGGATAGATGCCCCACCGCGTTAGGCTGGCACTTTTAGATGCAAAATCCTAAGTTTGAGTGTGGAGTCCTAAAAACGTTTGAGAAAATGTGATCGGCTAATTTATATGGGATGTGAACATCCAATCACGGACGTACACATTTGATACTAAAGGACATAAATTTCAAGAGATGAAAACAAATTTTTAACAAACAAACAAAAAATACATAATAAAAACGTAAAATTTATGACAAATTTAAAATTTTAAAAGATAACTACCTATTGTCCTATCGATCCATCTCTACTTCCAACAAAGAAAAGTACAATCTCTCGTTATGACCAACTCTATGTTACTAAACTCTGATGCAAAATCACCCGCGTCGGCTTTGTCTCTACATAATTCTTACACCAAACATGAAAACGTGAACATAACTATCTATATAACCTTGATAGAAAATGACACAGAAAATAGAAAACGAGTATGGTTAAATACCCAGGCGCCCAAGGAGATATAAAATGAATTTTGCAAGTGTAATATACCCAAAAAGAGATAATTTGATTGTTGTGCTACAAAAACAAAACATTAAAATATGTTGGTTGGTCGGGTTAGATTTTACTATTTTAGTGGAGAAAGAAAGAGGTCCCCCCGACCCAGTGGAACAAGGACATAAATCTAATCTATTGGGACAGTGTTGTTTTCTCCTGTTTGTCATTTTTTGAGGGGTGGGATGTATTCACGGAAAAATATCGTTCCGATTCTATTTTACAGAAATGTGAAAGCAAAATTCCAATGCTTGGAGGGATTTTATTCAAATGATGCTGAGGCTTTGACACCTTGAAAAATCAAGGACCGACCACCAGAAAAGAACGTGCGTCAACTACACTGGAACACCTACATACTTGGTGTTTATCGACTCCACAATGTGGTCCAAAGATTATACACATCCATTGTATTTAATTCCCATTATATTGATCATTTTGATATATGATAAATAACAAGAAATTAATCTTTTAAGAATTTATATGCGATGCATGTACTGTTATTTGCTAAACTATGTGATCCAGTTTTTCCCACTAGCAGAAGTTACATATGATAAATGTCAGATATTTCTATGCACAGAAAATAGTAGAAAGGGGTACAGAACTTTGTAACTGAAACAGATTCGACTCCCATTTGTCATTTGGGCCCCAAATTACCCATTATGTGAACATGGCCTCTGGCCCAACATCAAGAAACCCAAATCTATAATAACTATCAGTCCATTGCTCCCACAAGATCATGCCATTGTTACTCAACCGGACATTCAGCTTCAAGAGTCAAGACCCAGTACACAGACACGAACTTGAGAGAGACTGGAAAAGATGATCGACACTCGCATAGCAGAAATCAAATCATATAGATCTAAAGAGAATGGTAATTCAGAACTTCTAATGACAAACTTTCAAAGCTTTGAATCTATCTCACCTCGTCAGTACTAGTGAGATAAAAAAGTAAAAACTTAAATGATATCTCCATTTCCATGGCAAACTGTCATATTAAGAAATACAAGATAAACACTTAAACGGTTGATTTACATACACACGTGTATATATGATTTTCTTGGTCAAACGATCAGGAAACCGTGCAAGTCCCAGGACATGGCAATTGGAGTCTTGCACTGATTGGGAGTTCTGAGGGAGGTAGCAGTGCTTCATTCAATCAAAAATGTAGACACACAAAATGGTGTCAGAGTAATAGTTGCTTCCTGTACAATATTCATCATCTCCGGTGAACTTTGTTCATCAAACTGGTAAGAGAAAAGAAACATCCCTTAACCATTCACTGAATCTATTTGTCAGAATCCCATGTTTTTGTTATTATTATTATTTTAAAAAAAAGACGGTGAAAATGAAAACAAATCACACTTGCAAGTAGAAATTACCAGACATTTCCGGTCTGATTGAACCAGTAACAGATAGCTAAGGCATTAAAAGGCATGGCAGGTGAAACAACCACTCAACGAACCCATCCGGTGGGTTCTCCGGAAAGATAAAGCCATATGAGAGGTCTTTGCTTGTTGGGCCTGGTTGGCCAGCATCGAACTTCTCATTTCTTGTGCCCTCTTCTGAGCTGATCTTAGCTTATTCATTATCTTATCCATCGATGACGATCTCTTCTTTTCTAGCTTCATCTGAAATACATTGTCACATCAGTAATAATGAAGAAAATAAAGATTTTGGCCAAGCAAGAGCTTTCATATTTTCACCACAAATTATCAAATTTTAAAATCACGATCGTCTCTTTTTTAACTAGTTTTTTTTTTATATTTTATTAAAGAGAAAAAACCAAAGGTTCTGCCAATGGGAGAACAACACTTTCTACTCGGTTCAAATTCATCAAGATGTCACATGATACCGCTAACATCTAAATAAGCAAGCTAGACAACAAAGGTACGGAAAGAAATATAAAATCGTACAGCTAGAGATGATTTTAGTTTTTCCCTATCAAGGTTAAGCATTTACTTAATATCTATTTATATAACTTCAGTTATTAATGCAGAAGTATTCAGGAGAAAAGAAACCTCTAGTTTCCTTATGGCTGCCTCGGCTTTTGCCTTCTGCAGATTTTCCCAGGTAGTGATTTTGGCTTCTTCTCTTTTGATCC